AAGAAATTGTTGATGTGGCAGGGCTACATACAGCTTACAACGTAAAGAAATATTACAGATCACGCCATCTGTGCTCCCTGCTTTCACAGTTGCTTTTCGTTATCGCTGTCTTTCCTTCTATAATCTGTTATCTGCTTCCTTTAACCAACCACTACTAGTATAGCCACGAGAGGCGGAGAGGCGGCTGCGGTGCAGAATAGCGCCAGACTATTGACATATTCTTCGATAAATTGTTGTTTTCATTGCACGTGCTTTCATCTCGTGTAAGAGGTAAGCACGCGCAGGCGGTAATCGCAGGACGCTTGCGAGATAAGTTCAATCTGTACTGCATGGCCCCTTCGCCCCACTACGCAAGGCCATTGAAAACTTCACGTCGTTGACTTTCCCTGTGCACTCTGTGCGCGCGGTGAAGCCAAACTTCTACTGAAGCCCTCTGGTAAATTTGAGCGGACATGTGGGCGGTGCATTAAGATGTCTCATCGTTGATGCGCTGAGTTGGTGCGGACGCACTCTTCGGGTTCTAAAACGTGTAGTGCATGTATGTCTGCATGTTTGTGGTGACAAACTATCAACATGCCATTGCGGCACTCCCAAAAATGTGCGTTTTCTCGTATAAGCTAGCCTAATCCAGATTAATTAAAAGGTCTTGTAGATTCTCGTGTAGAATGGACAAACACGCAAATTCATGTGAAAGTTTAACGTTACAGTTTAAACTAAAAGAAGCAAGCAAACAAAAGTCAGCTATCCCCACATAACCGCAGGACGCTTGTCCTTTACCTGCGAAAGGCTGTCGAGCAAGCTGGTTTCCGCTCGAAACCCCGGCGATTTTTAGGGGCGAAGCTCCTTAAGGCGTGGGTCTGTTCATCCTCCGTTGTCATACATAACCACCGGTGGCACATACCCGATCTAGAGTGGGTATGTGCGACAGGGGATGCGAGATTGGAGACGGCGGTACTTGCAGTGTTCACTAGATGGACGCACGGACGAACGCATGGGCGGACGGATGGATGAATGGACGCGTGGAGCGGGCATGTGCCACAGGGATTGTCAGATGGGAGATGGTGGAACTTTGAGTGTTCACTAGATGGACGCACGGACGGACGCATGGACGGACGGACGCGCTGACGTGCGGACGGATGGACGCGCGGACAGATGGACGGATGCATGGACGGACGCACAGATTGTCGCGCAGACGGACGGACGGACGGACGGACGGAAGCACGGACGGACTGACGGACGCTTCGCCCCACTCATCATCATTCACTCCGCGGATATGCCGTGATATTTTTTTTTCTCAACTAGAGTGAATGCTACGCATATCAAGAGATAAAGGTTCGCCACTACTGCCTAAACAGTATGCTTGACTGGGGAACGATGACACAATCCCTAATGAAACTTATCAGGGCGTTCAAGTTCCCGCCCTAGAAACAGCGAGACGAACAGACAAACATGTGTCTGTATGACAAAGTCCGCTTAATTTACACACGCGGAAAATGTTCAACGTCAACAAAATGAGTAGGCAGCACAAATGGACTGAGTGATTCTTTTGATTGATTGATATGTGGGGTTTAACGTCCCAAAACTACCATATGATTATGAGAGACGCCGTAGTGGAGGGCTCCGGAAATTTTGACCACCTGGGCTTCTTTAACGCGCACCCAAATCTGAGCACATGGGCCTACAACACTTCCGCCTCCATCGGAAATGCAGCCACCGCAGCCGGGATTCGATCCCGCAACCAGCGGGTAAGCAGCCGAGTACCTTAGCCACTAAACCACTGCGGCGGGGCGGGTTATTCTTTAGAGGTGCCACAATGATGGGCTAACATTTGTTAACCCCTCCCCCCTCTGCGAGCATTTACTCGCGTTCCTCCCGTGGGAAGATGCGGGGGGCATTTTTCCTTTTTTTAGTTTTAACTGAGTAAAGATGAGCCTCGACGAACCAACTTATCCGAAGAACCAATCACCGCCTGCCGATCGTGAAGCAACAGGTTGAATGAAGCGAAATCAGGTCAGCCTTTCATAAATGGCACACCAGTGGCTCAAAAAAGGAATCACACGGCATGACAGTAATTCTGTTACTTCTAGTTTCAACACGAGTGTTAACATTTTATTAACAGATTGCTTTTTAAAGTGAGTCATAGTGTTAGCATTGATACTTTAGGCATCTATAATGATGGTTATACCGTCACAAGGGGTAACTTGGTGTTTTAAGACTTCACATGTGACAACGTCAACGACGGCAGAACACGAAACTCTGCGCAATGCACTGGAACTCATCAATTCAGAAGAAAGACAAGATAAGTGGGTTGTGTTTTCTGACTCAAAACCAGCGTTACAGTGCCTCATATCAGTTCTCCGACGCGGATGCCACGACCAGTTGACCTATACCAAGTGACCGTGAAACTTCACCACCTTCTAGTACAAAAAGGCCACGACATCGTCTTTCAGGGGTTACCTGGGCATTGTGGTATAGGCGGCAATGATTCTGCAGATCATGCTGCTCGCACGTCACATAAAGAAGCGAACAGCGTTCCGATTCCGCTTTCAAGAGCGGATGCGGCGAGGCAGATTCGTCAACTGGCCCGCAGTCTCACACTGACTGAGTGGAGCACACCAAGCATACGACGTACAAGACTGCACGATCTCGACCCTTCACTACAACTCCGGCCTCCACCCGGCCTACATCGACGTGAAGCTTCGCTTCTCTATCGCCTTTGGCTGGGAGTTGCTTTCCCGAAAGCTTATACCACGCTAATCGGAATTGCTGACAGTGCGGCGTGCTATGTTTGCGGCACCGACGAAAATATCGAACGCCTGCTGTGCCATTGTCCTCGATTTGCCTCAGATAGACAAGTACTTGCCAACGCGATGTGGCGACTGGATGATCGACCTCTTTCTGTGCAGGTGCTATTACAGCAACGTCCACATGCCTCGACAGCCCACAAGGCAGTGAAAGCCCTGCTGTGTTTCCTGAAAAAGACAGGCTTGTGTGAACGCCTCTGACATGCGGTAGAGTTCTATACGCTGCAGTGAAATTACTGTCAGTCTCTCTCCCGCCCTTTTTTTCCCTCTCATCCCTCTTTCTCGTATTTCTTGTCCCCTTCCCTAATCCCCCCGTGTAGGGTAGCCAACCGAATGTCTTTCTGGTTAACCTCCCTGCCTTCTCCCTTTTGTTGCTTCCTCCCTATAATGCACTTCATTCTCATCTGTACATTCATCCATCATAATCAGCCTGTCTACGCCCACTGCAGGGCAAAGGCCCCACCCATGATCCGCCAATCGATCCGGTCTTGTTCTTCTTATTCCCATCAGCCCACCTAACTTTCTGTTTCCCCTTCGTGCGTTTGCCTTCACTGGGAATCCATTAAGTTACCCTCAAGGACCAGCGATTATCCTGCTTACGTGCTACATGCACGGCCCATGTCGATTTCTTCTTCATTTTCAACTATGATATTCTTAACTATGGTAGCTGTGGACCTCCTTATAGAAAGCGCGGCTACTTACGACACCGGCTACGGTTTGCCACAGCTGAACCTTATTCGCCACTTATCTCGCACCGCAACGCTAATCCTGCTACTTTCGCAAACGAGGTGACCGCTAAAACGCGGAATAGAGTGCATTCCAGTTATGTTAAGGTATTTACCTTTCATTTAGACGACATTTACCCGTGCTAAGCTGCTGCTGGTCACTGAGAAACCACGAGACTGCTCTTTCGGAGGCATCAGAAGCAAGAACATGAGAACGGTAGGAAATACTGAAACAAGTAGACGGTAGTAAACAGACTCGTTTCCCGCAAGAGAACTAAGAGAACTATATCGTGAAGGAGGCGTAATAGACTCTCTCGAGAAGATTGTTTTTTTTTTACTTTTGCTCCAACTAATGAAGACCGATGCTGGCTGCTACGGTGGAGGACGTATCGACGTTTCCTCCTACGTGCAGGTTTGTGTGATAGCCTGCGATGCACGTAATGGGCCGCGTTCTGCATGCTCTCAAAACAAACTTGTTTCCTCTCGGTGCTCTCGGTCCTTGATTACAAGAAGAAAATTTGGGGAACACAAATAAGCGGTATACCCAACGGGTAAGCGGCCAATGAGATCCAGAACCCTGGACCGTTACGCGCACAGGAAACACGGCGCTGGTTAGAGCGGCACTGCAGCTCTCAGCCGCGTCGCTGCCAAAGGTAGCGGGTCCTTTCTCGCGAATACACCAAACGCGCATTGGCAAGATTGCGGGTATAGCGTGTGCTTGCGGGGCATCATGTGCCGACTGTCGGTGATATTTGCCACTACCGCGAAGCCTTGCAATCGGGGCAACAAAACGAGGCACTGGCCAATCTCGATTCTGGGCTCCGCAGATCGACGAATGAAGGGTCATCGTCGCAAGTATGTTGAGTAAAAGCATAGGGTGTTTCTTCGGTGGCACTTGTAGATACTTGGTAGAATTCCTTGCAACACCCATTGTATTAACTGCGTCTGAGATCTTTGAATCTCGGGTTTCGTTTTCTTTTGCGTTATTTTCTGTTTTCTGCGGCCCGTGTGCTGATCCTCATGCGCTACTAAATTGGCTCAGCGGCCTGATGGGTCGATGAAGTTTACTTGCTTTAGATGCTAATATAGATACACAACGAGAGCTTACTGATTTCTTATCTTTGCTCAAACAGCCCAAAAGGAGGACAAGTTGGCTGCGGACGACGTACAAACAAGGTCCTGCAGCACTTACAACACTATTTAATTCGATCAGAAAAGGCAGCTTGTTTACTATGCAGCGAAACCGAAATGGAGTACTCGTGGACGAAACGGGGAAGTGACAGCAATTCGCATTCTATCTGTTGTGTTATCAATTCGGTTGATGTACAGTCTATATCTCGTCTACGGGCGGGCGTAACGAAAAGTGTGGTGCTGTTTTCATAAAAATCACAAAGGATAAGGTGATTTCCCGCCATGCACTTCGAATGCCTGGCGATGCTGCAACGGTATCCGTGCACGGCCTGTATCGCAGTTTCCCCGCGACGCACCGGTGTCGACAGTGATGCAGCGGCTGACTCCTGAGTCCGGAGATACGTGCGGAGTCCGGTACCTGGTCCGGTGCTACACTTTGCTCGACGAAGAAGAGACGCCGGCGCAGAGCAAGTAAGCGAGTTGGCATTTTTCTTCATGTGTTTCTTTCGCATCCTTGTTTTAGATGCGAAGCATCCTATGGTTGAGCTCAATCCGGTGTGCGGCGTGACCACTCTTACTGCGCATGCGCCCTCTCTCCTCTCCGGCGTTATTCCCCTCTCTTGCCTAGCAATGCCGGCGCAGGCATATTCTGCTAGCGAGTTTCTTGATTGAAAAAAAAAAACTGACTGTTCCCGTTTTTTTATTATTTATTTAGCACTCGTGGTGGGTGAATGGCGCTAACGCGGGTGATGCGGTGAGCGCTGGAAGATTCGTTTGAAGCGATGGCTGGCGTAGGTCTCGTCATTTCTTCAGAGTGGACACGGGCGCTGTACCAAAGGTGGCACGCGTTTCTCCTTGACTACCACGGCCTTGTGATCAGTGAAGTTCACGCTGACAGGCCTCTGCAGGCATTCGACGTCGACGTTGGCAAATCCCAGATCAACGCGCGTTATTCTTATCGTAGTGGGTAGTTTCCGTTCCGCCAACACGCATTTCAGCGAGTGCGTCACGCATGTAATCGACGAGCCATTCTTTTCCTTCTACTCCGCTGACGTTTTGAAAGTTGAAGTCTCCCTCGACTACAAGAGGTGCGCGTCGGCACTTCTCGCCGCAATCAGCCAGCGTCTACTCTAGACAGCGCTGAACCTGTTCCTTCGGTGGTTTGGGAGCGAGGTACAGCGATTAAGAGAGGCAGTAACGGGACTGCGCTTTTTTCTTCCTTTTTCCTCTTTTCAAAGCCACTTGGTACAGTGCGAAGATCGCAATGTCGCCGATGCGCACGGCTACGCGTAGAGGTTCTTGAGGGGAAAAGTGAAGAAATAAGCGCGGAGCTGTTGCTGTCTTTTACAAGGAAGTAACCTACACGGCTCCGAGCGGGGAATGTGGGAGGGGAAGTGAAATGAAAAAGAGGGTTCATTCGAAACTGCCGCGCGCGCTGCCGCCGGGAAACGGAAAGCAGTCAGGCAAGTCGGCCGGGGGCGGGGACTGGGCGCACCACGTGACGAGAGTACGATGTCAAACTCTTGATTGATTGATTGATTGATTGATTGATTGATTGATTGATTGATTGATTGATTGATTGATTGATTGATTGATTGATTGATTGATATGTAGGGTTTAACGTCTCAAAACCACCATATGATTATGAGAGTCGCCATAGTGGAGGGTTCCGCAAATTTTAACCAACTGGGGTTCTTTAACGTGCACCCAAATCTGAGCGCACGAGCCTACATTTCCGCCTCCATAGAAAATGCAGCCGTCACATGCGGGATTCAATCCCGCGACCTGCGGTCAGCAGCCGAGTACCTTAGTCACTAGACCACCGCGGCGGGGCATATGCCGAGCTCTTTACGCGCCTCTAACGAGGCCCGTACGCACGTGTATGCGAGTGTTGTTTACATCCATGGCCCCTCACAGGGCTACGCAATCGGAGCACGAACGTCTTCGAGAGGCTCCGGATCGTTCTTTCAGGTCGCCTGCGGATTGGTCGGTGGAGCCCTGCGCTCGCAAGCGGGCTTCGATGGAGGGCGCGCGGCGCTTTCGAGACATTAATGCCTTCCGCTGCCGGCGCTTCCGCTCGACTTCCTTGGCCCGCGTCTCGTCGGTGTTGCCGACGTGTTGAAGACGCTTGCGCTCGGCTTCGATGGCTCGCCTCTCGTTGGTATTGCCCGCGCGCCATCTCCATTCTCGAACGAGATCGGTGTACTTGACTATTACCTCTTCGATATCGTTGGTCTTCAGCTGCCGACGCTTGCGTTCGGCTTCCCTGGCTCGCGCATCGTCGGTGTTGACGTCGCCATTCGCAAATTCGATCGGCCCTGCTAATCCTCGCAATGCCCGCGACGGCCGGGTAAAGCCAAATCGCTTCGGCGCATGTTTAGACGGGCGAAGAAGTTTCGGTTTCCGGCATCCTATTCATCGCAGATAAACCAGCCGAGTGTTCACTCGATGTGCGCTTGAACGATGCGAGCGGTGGAGAGGGTGAAGCGAGAAACAGGTGACACGCCGTGAGTGTGTGGCAGGTGAGGGAGAGAGAGACGTCACCACGCACTGCGAGGGCAGGCGAGACTTACTTGGCTCGGTTCCTACGGCGAGGGGAGCGCGGTGCGGTGCGTTGGCACGGAGACACGGAGAGACAGCGTTACACAGGATAGTCAAAAAGCTGCTTCGCATCTAATAAAAACTCGCAGCGTGTGCGTTCACTAAAAGCAGCCTGCTGGTCTCTGCTGCGAGTCTTTGTGTCAAATCAAAGTCTTTTCACTATCGTTGCCTGTTAGCAGCGATTTGCGTGTTTCATTAGAAAACACTGGTCCATTATTACGGTAGCTTTTAGCGTAAAATAAAGAGAAACTTACGAACATCAGAAATAACAACACGGCATGCTGATAGCGCCCAGTAACAATCAGGACACTGAAAAATAAGTGTCCTATCATCGCGAAAAGCCCAAATGCATCAGTGCGGAACAATGGGAGACCACGCAGCATGGCTGACACAACGAGGACGAACTTCAACTCATCAGACAAGCCTAAGATGCCACTAGGACCCAATCGGCCGTCTCCTAGCCGCCGTCCGAGGAAAGGAAAAACTCACATGACACTTGCCGTTTCAATGAAGGTCTCTCTTGTAACTTTGTTGAAAAGTATACGTAAGCGCTATGCCATGTGCTAAGCAGCGCCGCTGGCCGTCCACCTTCGTTGAGCGTTCCTCAGTTTCTTTGTTCAAAAAATCCAGTAGCCTGCCAATCGATTCCTCAAATGTTGATTTTCCGATGGAAGTGAAAATGTTGTAGGCCCGTGTGCTCAGATTTGGGTGCGCGTTAAAGAATCCCTGGTGGTCGAAATTTCTGGAGCCCTTCACTGCGGCATCTCCCATAATCATATGGAGGTTTTGGGACGTTAAACCCCACATATCAATCATATATGTATATATATATATATATATATATATATATATATATATATATATATATATATATATATATATATATATATATATATATATATATATATATATATATATATATATATATATCACAAAGAAAGAAATTGTGATCGTAGAGTGCCACCTCAAAGCGCTTCCTTTTCTCTTTCTTTTTACCTTTAGTAATTTGACGCTGCATAATGTGGCGCTATCAGATAGCATCATTAGGTTTTTCAAAGAACACACCAGAATTTTTTTCCGGTGAACCGGAAAGTTGGGTGTCGGCTCGATTGTCATAAAACCCCAGTAAAGAGGTAGAAATGCCATATACAAAAAGTTAATTATTCAAGTTAATAGATGTACAGGATGCATACAATATCCAACTATAAATTTAGACTAAGACTAAGATTTAGACTAAGACAAACTGTGAGGATAATCAATAAAAATAATTGAAAGAGCAAACTATTTTCACGTGAACCACGGAGGTCATTGCGGCAACTGACGGAGCACATCTAAACTACGCGCTTCTTTCTATGAGACCTCCGCGATCCACTTCGGCAGCGCGAAAGCGCATTGAAGCAGATTGCAGATAGGTTTACTTTCTTCATTTTTCGCGTAGGTAGATGCACCTCTCGAAACGTTGGCCAGCTCGTCGGAAGCACTTATTCCTGTTAAGACAGCCTGTATATCAGAATTGTACTTAAATAACGCGTATTTCATCAGCCAGATGGGGCAAAAGAAATTGCAACCTCAGAATTCTCATCTAAGGCCTCAGTTAACCAGAGTACATTCCCGTTAACGAGCATTTGTTATTCTAGTCTAACAATGCGTTTACCCCGCTTCTGTCCATCGTTCCGTATATAATTGGGCAGATAGCACAAACGCTATCTTTATTAGCCTATATCCATCTCCAGCCAAAACTCGGTATCCCGATAGCACGAGGCAAGCTTTCGGAGCAGCCGCCTGGCGGCAGTTTATGAATCCCTGTTCTTTCTTTTTTTTTTTTTGTCACCGTCGACTTTAGGGAGGTTGCGGCAGCCAGACCGCGCGGACAGTTGTGAGCTTGTCGAATGTTTTGTTGCCAACAGCGCGCAAATTGAATATGTCGGCTGCTCCACCATTAACGCGCGAAAAATGAGAGAACTGCGTCGAGGCGTGATGGTTGTGAAAGAGGGACTCCTTTATTTGGGATGTCGCTTCGAACTGTACGCCTTATTTGTTCTCGTTTTTTTATGTCTTTACTTTTCTTGTTTCTCACAACTGAAAGATACACTAACAGTATGCAAGAACAACTGTAGAAATGCGATTCTTGGGACTATATGAAACGACACTGAAATGTAATGAAAAAGGCTACGTGAACAACCGAGAATTAAAAGAAAAAAAGAACGATGTATGAAAAGCAAACGGTGTTCATTTCAAACACCGTACGGACTTTGAAATATTAAAACAACGTGCAGCAAAAACAAACTGAGTGGGCCTATATATATGTGTACCGTGGTTTCGGATCTCCAGTCTGAGAGTGCGAATTAAAAGTGCGAGAGGATGCACACTTCATGCTTTTTTTTTTTTAATTTAAGAACCATGTTTCCTAGCGCACTTATCAAACTAAAATCTGGGAGACACGCAATTTATTTGTATTTTCTTTGGTCGGTCAGTGCAAGAGAGCTCTTTGCGAGATCTTTCTCGCCAGGGGCTAGATGGTATCCCTGTCTGGTTTAACCAAATTAGCCTGTTCCACGTTCTGGGTCCTTTTTTTTTCTTCTGGAAACATAGACGAATATGATCCTCTTATTTGCTTTTCTCTTTTTTTTCTGTTACTTTCTTTGTTAATGTTCTGTTGAGAGCACGCGAAACGTGGTGCCTAAAAAAAATGTGAGAAGAAATGTTGGAGTTGTCGCGTCGCAAGAGGGGACAAAATATACAAACACGGTGGCGCCCAGTCTGCCAGAAGTATGGACGTAGTTCCGTGTTCGTTTGAGGGGAAAAAAACAACATTGGTGCACATCTGGCTACTTCCACACGGGATGCGTTCTCGAAATATAGTGCGCTGCTCTTATCTTGCGCTGGTGAAACCCCTCAGAGATAACTGGCAAGATTTGTGCGTTGAATAACCGTGACTACATGAGGAATAAGATAGGTCAGTGTAAAAGCGAGAAATTTAGTATAGTTGTGTCAGTTGGACATGAAAACACGTATGACGTTGCCGAGTCAGCCACTCACAGATGAACACGTTGACTAACTTGTGAGTGAGTGAGTAAGTGAACTAGAATAAAATAAGTAAAACCAATATAAGGGTGGCGGGAGCGAGCTAGCAAGCTGTCCACTCAAAAGGGCTCATGACAAATGAATTATGACAATAATGGCTTCCCCTCACGAGATAATGTGTCAGCGAGACATATGGATGCGAGGCGACGAAGCAACAACATTCGCAAGTGAGAACGTACAACGTCAAATAGCTCACGCATCGCGTTCTAATGCCACAATCAGCCTCGCCATTACCTTGACAGCTCATTATACGAGAAACGCGCGTGTGCGAAATATAGGCGACCCTACCGATATACCTCATTTTCATTTTAGTTTTGCGACTGCTAAGTGTCAAGTAGCACTTCCAATAAGTGCCTACATGCAAATATGAAAATGAGCCTGCATGCAAAATATGCGCGAAGTTGTTTGTCCCTGCAGTAGCACAAGAGAAGGGTCACCAGCGGGCGTATTCACAAAGCAAAATAAGCACGGACCAGCGTGAAAACAATGCCTGGCTACGAAACGGAATTTATTCACCCAGCTGTAGTAGTACAATATTCCCATAAATCATGTTTTTTTTTAACGCGACAACGTTAAATAGCTCGTTTCGTAGAAATTTCGGTGTCGGTGTCGTTTGTTGTCAGCGAAAAATCATCTTGTGCGTGACCGAAAAAATCGATAAATATGCAAATAGAATAAATTAATAATATAAAACACTGGGTCCGAGTGACGATCGAACGCAGGCCGTTTGCGTGGTAAGCGGATGTTCCACCAAACAGAGCTGCGTGTGCTTGTGAATAGAGAGAAAATAACTCTGCTTGGAAATGCACTGACAGTATAGAAACACACGTGTCCTGTATGCACGCTTCACCGTACAACAAGTAATATTGCAATGATGCGTGGTACACAGCGGGCATTGCCATCGGGCGTCAGAACATGTGATTATCATAACGACTTCACGGTTTAAAGCCGGCCACGCTCTACAAAAGGCACACACGTTACTGCGTCCATTCCCTTAATGGGGCCCTGTGACACTATTTGAGCACGCATTTCTTATCGGTTCTTCTGGTAGTGGGGAACGCGCCGATATTGTTGCACACATGGCAACGCCGAAATCGACGTTGTTATAATTTTGATTCACGGGACAAACTACCTTGGATTTCGGACTACGGCGACACACGTCGGCTAATTTTGTTAAAGGAAGTGAAGTCGTGTTATGTGACGTGACGATAAACACCGTACGATTTCGATTGGCTTGACGCGAGAAATAGCGTGCAATATTCATATGGTCGTAGCTAGGTCATACGAGTGAATGCTAAGAACAGCAAGAACTTTTTTAATACTTTCTCAAAAAGAAATCATTCCTGTTTCGAAATGATGTATACATTTTCAGAACAATGAACACAACGCTTAGCCTGTGAACGAGGCTATGGTACGCCGGCAACTAAAAGCAGAACCGCATGCCGCGTTTTTAATAAGCCAAAAATGCAACAGGCGGTGGTTGCCGGCGTTGCTGTAGAACGCTTCTTCCATGCAGGCCCGAAAGTGACGCCACCCAAAGCGTATGTGCACAGTGTGTCTGTGGGAGCGTCTGCTACCCGACGCACCTGGCTCGTAGTAGCCATGCTAACGACGCCGTCAAAAAGAGTGGTAGCGAGGTGTTGTGTGAAAGCCACCATGAAGTGACGTTTCCGGAATGTCTTTATGAGATGCGCGCTGTGGTTGGAAGCGGTCTTTGACGTCAGCAGGCCAGTGAGACGCGAAAAAGAACGTTTCTCGTCGTCGTCTGCTCGAGTTTTGAACTGAGGACTCGTAACTTCACTTTCCGTGCACCAATTTCCATCGTTCTTGTTGCATTTGTCTCAGTAGTCATCGCTACACGCGTTTTGGTGCCAAACATGGCTGTCCCAAAAGTGTCGCAGGGCCCCTTTAAGGCCACGTATTGTGAGTGCATTGCAAAATCGAAACCAGTTCACGCGCCGCCCGTAGTTTATATAGCACACTACCTACTAAACAATTTGAACTTCTCGAGTAACATCATACAATGGCCAGTACCAATTTCGATTTATTTCCATAAGAAATGAAGGAAAGGTCGAACGGAAAGTATGCGCCGAGTGTTTGAGGCACGCACTTTACGGTCAGGTTATCGGTATCTCGTTCAACGAGAGTCCTCCTAAAGGCGAAGCTTAAGGATCCCCTAATTTTTTTATGCATCTATGCTATTACGCGCATTCTTGCTTCAAGTGCGACAAAAAAACTGACAGAGTGTGTACGTGTCACAGCCCATTGTCACATGCAACCGTTTTTCGTTTCCTTTCCAATGTTCTGTGTCTCTGAGCAGAAAGCGGAGCCGTGGCTCGTCTAAGTGCCCAATCACAAAACTTGCTTCTTCCGTTTTTCGATCCCGTAGGAGCTGCGTGAACATCGGCATCCGCAAGGTTCAGTGCGCCACCACACCGCGGCCAATCAGCGCGGGTCCTCGGTCGGCGTCGCTCACCAAGGATTTCCCTCTCAACGCTGGCAAGCTGGTGGTCGAGGCCAGCCTCGAGAAAGAGGTGCGCTCCACTGTTGTCGTTGTCCTTGTTCTCTGGTCATGGCTCATAGTCAATGCAAGCGATTGGCCAAGTAGAGGGTAAATTTTTCCATTATGTCCAGTTAATATAGCAATTTGAAGTACCGGTTATAAGTGATTATAGTAATGAAAATTTCGAAGCCGGAAAACTTGGCAAGTTATTCTCATAGTCTCAGTGGCAAAGAATATACACCGAAGAGGTAGCTCTATACTCAAGAAGGGGTCTCAAAAGAAAGAATTACCAGTGCTGATAAACCCCAGTCTCTGGCCGATTCTGGAATTGTCCCAGTCCTGATAATTACCAATATTGGCCTGGTAATTACAGGCCCAAATTATGCAGAGGTACCATTGTTAATATTCTGTTCCTCAAAGCCGATCAACTAATGACACGACACAGAGAAAGGAGCCAGTAGGTTCCTTCCTCTGTCAAAGGAAGCAAAGACGCATGGGGCAAGTTGCTAAACCTCATCCATGAAATTAAAGATCGGGAAAGGTAACGCAGCAGAGAAATTACATGATTGAGTTAAACAAATCTCATTTCACATGCGGTAGTCATCTTTACCTTTAGCCATCCTCCTTCTATCGGAAAACAATTTTAATTACTCTGTGCCTTTCTTAACCTGCTTGGTGATTTATCATGCTTCCTTTGTTCATGGTAACTCAAGTACAGTAATGAAGTCAGGTTAAATTAAGAGCCTGGGACAGGAACTAATGTAATATTAACGCGAAAGTGTTTTATTCCGAGGTCACCATGGCTCCACTAACGTATTTTTGTCATGTATATGATGTTGTAAGATATATACTAACTCAGATTGCAAAGAAAGAGAGAGAGAAAAAAGGAAGGCTGGGAGGTTAACCGGATATCGGCATCTGCAGGTAAGAAAAAACGAGAAGGAAAGGTTCTGCCACGGGAGGTTAAACCAGTGACCTCTCGTTTCGCAGCACGCAGAAATAACCACTACGCATGCATAAGGAGAGGCAGTGAGTGAGGTGAAGGCTACTTCACTTCATACACGGGCCTAACAGCACACATTTAACAAAATATTATGCCTTAAAGGCAAGTCTTTGTCGCAATAAAAAAAAAATGAGCTATCCACTACACCAAGAAGCGTACGTTGTCAGAAGTTTTAACTGGAAGCCATTTATATACACCATATACCGTTTGGTCGTCCTCAGAGCTCCGTAACTTCAGCGCGTTTTCGTCACCAGTATCAAGATGGCGCGAAGGTCTCGCGCTGGGCGCGCTCTAAAGGTCTAAAGGCCTCTCGCGTTGAGCGCCGCCTCCGCAGAGCTTGGTCTTTCCTGCATGCGCTCTTAACAGGCTCGTGATTCCAGTGAGCACGAAGGTGACTTCGCTTGCTTCGGCCGCGCAGAAGTAATAATTGCGGCAGTTGTTCGCACTTGTCCTGTGTATACTTGTGCGTTCGTTTTGTGCGTCTTTCTATCAGTTTGAACAGCGCGCTTCAAGTGTCGAGCTGTGACAGTTGTTAGTCCGCGCTCGTCCTGTGCATGCTCGTTTCGTGCGTGCTTTCTGCTTGAGGTGCGCGCTGCAAGTTTCGAGGTGCTTGCCGTTTTTCGCGTGACGTTGAAATTTGTTGCATTCATTCTTTCGCTCTTGTGGCGAAACAATGCACAATAAACGCAGAAGCCTTTGTGAACGCGCGCTCGCTTCCGTGTTTTACAGAATCTTGTAAAATGGGATCGGTCACATTTCTTTTTGCCTGCCATCCTGTTTTTCGCGTTAAGTTACTTGCGTAGATTGACGTTCTGCATCATAACGTACCAAAGATGACTTGAGGTAATATTCATCATCATCATCACCAGCCTGACTACGTCCACTGCAGGACAAAGGCCTCTCCCATGTTCCGCCAGTCAACCCGGTCCTGTTCTTGCTGCTGCCAATTTATACCCACAAACTTCTTATTCTCATCTGCCCACCTAACTTTCTGTCTCCCCCTAACTCGCTTGCCTTCTCTGGGAATCCAGTTAGTTACCCTTAATGACCAGCGGTTATCCTGTCTACGCGCTACATGCCCGGCCCATGTCCATTTTCTCTTCTTGATTTCAACTATGATATCCTTAACCCCCGTTTGTTCCCTAATCCACTCTGCTCTCTTCTTGTCTCTTAAGGTTACACCTAGCATTTTTCTTTCCATTGCTCGCTGCGTCGTCCTCAGTTTAAGCTGAACCCTCTTTGTAAGCCTCCAGGTTTCTGCTCCGTAACTAAGTACCGGCAAGATACAGCTGTTATATACCTTCTTCATGAGGAATAGTGGCAATCTACCTGTCATAATTTGAGAGTGCTTGCCGAATGTGCTCCATCCCATTCTTATTCTTCTAGTTACTTTAATCTCGTGGTTCGGCTCCGCAATTACTACCTGTCCTAAGTAGGCATAGTCTTTTACAACTTGAAGTGCACTATTACCTATCTCGAAGCGCTGCTCTCTTCCGAGGTTGTTGTACATTACGTTCGTTTTCTGCAGATTAATTTTAAGACCCACCTTTCTGCTCTCCTTGTCCAACTCCGTAATCATGAGTTGCAATTCATCCCCTGAGTTACTCAGCAATGCAATGCCAATGCAAAGGTAATATTGGCCTCAGTTAATGCAGGTGGCACTTGTTTGACCTTTCATCCTTGGCCGCTAGCTGCATATGTCCAATCTGTACAAAGTGAGAAGTCAACAATCGTATTAAATGGTTATTTTTAATATACTGAAAAGAAACACAGTTATTATGTTATGAGATGCTTCACAAATTAATGAAGTATAAGACACGTTTCACCAACCCGATTAAAAGCGGCTGTTGTACATCTCCTCGGCTGTTTCTTCTTTCTCTCACTCCTTGTGAATGGTGGACGCGGTCTTGAAACTACCTTAACACGCTGCAGTTTTAGCGAACCTAGGTACGACGATGCTGCAGGCGGTACAGGAATGTCCCCTGGAAAGACGGGGTCCCACCAGATTTTTCATCGCCTTCATCTTCACCATCCTCCCGAGCAAACGTAGACAATGCCGAGCTGCATGCTCTACTCAGCAGAGACCTGCGCACCTTTCGTCACGAGCCGAGTAATTATTTGATATGCGGGGTTTAACGTCCCAAAACCACCATATGATTATGAGAGACGCCGTATAGTGGAGGGCACCGGTAATTTCGACCACCTGGGGTTCCTTAACGTGCACCCAAATCTGAGCACACGGACCTACAGCAATTCACCCGCAAGAGTAACAGAGCAAAACAGGGCGCGCACGACGCGCCCCGACAACGTAAAATCGCACTCGCCCGCAACGGCTTCCACGCGGCAGCAGCGTACATCTCGTCGGCTTCACGCGCAATCAGCGACGCTTTCATGGCCCATCACGAAAAGTGCCGGCGCACGTCATACGCTCCACCGCGCCTCCGCTCCGCGCTTCCGCTCCGCGCTCCAAGGAGCATTGCAGGGCGCGCACGCACAGCCACAGTCCTCCGAGGACTGCTTCGTTAATTGTCTCTACGCTCGAGCACCTCGACTGTACCGTCGAAGAAGCGTGTGGCCACTTCTCCGACCGAGACGCATGCATCTCGTTTAAGGCGAACAAAGACTCCGCTGATTGCGGAAGACGCGAACGAGTGCTGCAGCTCGAGGCATGCGCGTGTGGGCGTTTTACTCGATTAGAGCGCTCGCGTGAAGAGACTGGTAGCGGTGTTCCAGGGAACGGCGCGAGCGAGCGACCGCTTACAAATGGAAACAAATGCCTCCCGCGGGCGACGCGGGCAAAAATGGCCCGATCTCGCGAGAAACCACGCCGAGCGCCCGGTCGTTTCTCGCCACTGCCGGACATCGACGGCCGGCAGAGAACCTGGCGCTCCAACGCAATGCCGCTGCAAGTTCATGGCAACGTCGTCTGTGCTTTAGGCCCGCTTATTTCCCAATTGTTGTTGTTTTTTTGCGTTTACAGTTCTCTTATATCGATGCCAGTGTTCCAATGAAGGTGGTTTGTTTCCGTTCGTGCTTACGACCAGCAGTGCCGTATACGAATTTCGCTCCCAGTGAACGTCCTTCCCTGATTTACACATGAAAAGAGCCGATCGAACACACCCGCTATGGCGGCTGCTTCGGTTTCAACGGCACGCGCCAATTCGTCGCTTCTATATGGATCATTATCACTCACACTGGCTCCTGCCATCAATGTATGCTGCATGGAGTGAAAAAGTCCACGTATCTGACATGTTCATACTTAGTAACAAGCACATTTCTTCGGTATCGCGCACGATTCGGAAGGTGCGGCGTTAGTGATATTGAAGGGCTTTTTCGTGCCGGATGCAACTCCGAGGTGGCAGGACGAAAAAAAAAAAGGGCGGGTCGTTGAGCCATTTCACACAAAAGACGGCGTCGGTAAAGAAATAACCGTGACGCGAAAACTACCGCGGCATCCTCGTTGAATGCTGAGTGGACGCGTGTATCGGAACATATGAGCGAATGGTAATTTATTCTTTGCTAGAACGGCTGTATAAGTGAACACTGACCTTCCGGAGTCATTTGTATTCGCTTATGCGGGCGCTCTCTGAAGCTTGCTGATAAAAAGGCCCTGTGTTGTTTAGTCTTGGAAAGTATTTGTGCTTCCGATAACCCGCGATTGTACAATGCTACGATGTTAAAGGCGTTTTTTTTTTTTGTTTTTTGCTACACGACTGTATAAACAAGCATGAAATAACTGCAAGCGTAACACGGTGCAGTTCTTGAGCCATGTCAGAATATTCGTATATCAATAAAAAAATGGTATAGGCTTTCACAACTGTTACGTTCGACCGACAAGAGGTCGGCAGCTATACGAGATGAAAACCAGTCGATCCCGCAGGGCAAAAAGCCGTCCCTTTATTTCTAGCTCAGGAGTATATTTTGAAAAATGAAAGGCTGAGAGAAAGACAGAAAAAGTGACAATGAACGCATGTGCTGAGAGGCGTCATTTGACCCGGCTTTCTATCTGCTGAAGTTCTTTTTTTTAATCTATCTGAAAGAAATTCACGTCCATGACAAAGACAAGCACTGTTATCACTTCTATATGACATAGAGGGCGCCAAAAGTCAGCGACACAGTATGCAGTGCGTGTGGAGAGGAAGAAGAAACTGCCGAACACGTGATAATGTTCTGTAAAGGGCTTTACCCTATAGTTCAGGATGATGGCGCAGAGTTTTTCAAAGCACTGGGGTTTGGGGACCGGGAGGGCAAAATAGACTTTAAGCAAGTAGACATAACTAGAAGGAGGTTATCTGATTGGTGGCTAAAGTCAAGGCACGAGTGAAAATTAAACTCTTCACTGCAAAGTACGAATCCTCAAACTCACTTTTTAAGGGAAAAAAATAAATATAGTTTTGGGTTCATTAAGTATTACGGCTTGGTGGCGCTAGCCACCGCCCGATCTTAAGGGTACAGCCATATCCATCCATCCATCTATCCAGCAGTGACAAGACGCGTTCTCTACTATGGGCGCAATAAAAAAGGGAAAAAGAAAAAAACACCTTAACTCCTCTACCTCAAGGTCGTTGCGTGCTAATGTAGCATAAGAAGAGAAATAACACAACGGCAAAATTGGCGTTGATCATTTCCTGTCGCGGAGTTGCTCGCGAGTATATGAGAGAGCCATAATTAGGCGCGACAACGGCAGCGCGCGCAGCGCTGTGTACCCGTCGCCTAGCGACCACATTCCGAAACCTAATGGACGCCTCTCTTGTGCGACCGTTAGCGAAGCAGCGGCGATAATGAATGCGGCCTGTTCTTCGACTGTATGTGCGTTCTTGACCTATGGCACGTTCTTACACATACGTCTCCGAGCCGTAATGATAAAGTCTAACGATCTTTTTCATTTCGACCCGATCTTACAGGGAGTTTGCCTTTCTCCCAGTTTATTTTCTTACCCTCTCGTCAGTCACAATGTTTTTTTTTTGTCATTCATTACCCAGGGTTGTCGTCACAAGCCGTATGACACGGGAAAGTGGGAGCTACGTACGGTAATGGCACGGAGGCTTGCATGAACGCATTAATAAGGAATAAGCGCCGGTAAAAGCATCACCGACATATGTTCCAACAGCAAAGAAGCAGCCACCAAAGGTTGACATGGGATCATACTCTCAGTTGTGGGACATTCCATATTTAAAAAAAGAAAGAAAAAATAAAAAAAGTCTTGTTGAAGCACTCTCAGATGTCGGTGCGAAATGTTTCGTTAAATAGGAGGAGTCGCGAAAATATGTCCATAAGCGCTAACGATCATGTCCGCATTAACGATGTGAATCTATATGCACGGATTGGAACTACGTCACCGATTCCCGTCGTGGTGATCCGAATTAGTTTCTTTTTTTTTTTTTTTGCTTACTTATTTGGCTCGATGGTGATCATTGCCGACGCGGAACTAATGAAGCGGAAAGGATGCCGCTACGTGTAGCGAACATCATTTGGTTGCGTATGGCATGCATGGTCAGCTTCTGCTGCGCTAAACTCTGACGTATACTTCCTCGAGTGCAGGCCGAAAACCGACGCATTATTCTTAAACTCTTTCATAATCGACCTCCCAACTTCAGCGATTTAGTCTCTAAACTATGCATATACTGCCCAAATCTCCGACCATTACGTAAAGCAATCTGTGCGGCCCATCACCAATAACGTATAGCTGCTTTGGGATAGACGTCAGCGGTTCCTTGACTTGTCGATACTTAGTCACCTTTAATGTACCTTGCTTTACTCAATGTCAGATGAAAGATTTCAGTGCGGCGTCAATTTTCGCATGTTGTCTGTGAATGGCTTCACCATTTTGACACACGTTGTCTATGCTCCGATGAAATTGCCGCATGACCAGCCACGGTGGTCTGGATCCTAGGTCGTTATGATGCTCGACTGATGACTCTAAGGTCGCGGGATCGAATACCGGCCACGGAAGCCACATTAGCGATGGAGGAGAAAATGCTTGATGCCCATGTACTTAGATTTAGGTGCACATTAGGAAATACCCAGGCCTTCACTACAGCGTCTCATATCGTGGATTTCGGACTTTGAATTATAAAATTGTTTCAACTATGATGAATATAACTGTACAAATCAAAGGCACAGAAAAACTATCCCGCACTACAAGGAATGACACTAGGCCAGATTCGGCATTGCAGCTAGCCCGAAAGAAGGTCTCGTAGCACTTCTAAGGTCTTTGGCCGATGTGGATTATTGTGAACCAGGAATATTGTGGACTTAGACTTATATTAAGTCAATTCGAAATGTCGCGACGTCGCCATACTGCTAACACTACATGGAAATGCGGAATCTTGCCTGCACATATTCATTTTTAATGCACAAAGAGAGCTTTTCGATGGACCTAACTTGGAAACACCGAGTGATAGTTTGTAAGCTTGCACCTGCTGATTATCTCTCGTTTTGGATATGTAAAAAATGCTATTGTTTTGTTTTCAGCTCTACTTTCACGGTGAAGAGATTGTGGTCAAAATAAACGTCCAGAACCATTCACAGAAAACGGTGAAGCACATCAAGGTTTCGAGTGAGTATGCCTCTCAGTACTCTGTCAATCAGACTATATTTTTTGTTGGATTGATTGAAGCCTATTAGCATAAAATCAATACAAATCGATTGCAAACAGAGAATGCCTAGTATTGGGTCATTATAAGAACGTGTAATTGTCAGTAGTGTTCACCGGAGACCTTTAAATGCAAAACGAGCAACATTCGTTACGTTATTATGGAGTATTACATTAATATGGAGCATTATCAATCAAGCATAATATTTGCAGAAAGAACAGAGTGACTTGTTCATCTCATCTGGCAGAGAGAATAATCCAGTACGTATTTATATCGTTTTTTTTTGGTTTGTTTAGGTCAACATGCATGCATATTTTCACTTGTGGCCGTTTATGTATTACGCCTCTGAAAACTTTACCTTGGGAAAAACAAATTGTGGGCATGATCACTGTGTAATAGCTCGCATGAAAAGGTATATTTACTGCTCAGTCAAGCATCACTTTTTTTTTTGTAAATTACTTATCAGTAGGCTCATCCGTACGAAATAACTATGACCTCTCGGCTGTCAAACCGTCTTTGGTTCAGTGGTTTTTCTTCAAGATACAAACAATAACACAATCATTAAATCGAAATGAACGAGCAGCAATTAATGCCTATAAAGCATAAGGTCGTGTTCTCTTTTTCTCTCTCCTTCTCTTACGAAGTCCTCCAAGTCGTGGACATCTGCATGTTTTCTACGGGCCGCTGGAAAGTCTGCGTCGCTACAGCAAATGGGAGGTGAGCGCGTTCTTCTCGTGTCTTATTCGGCTACACGATCCAAACAAATGAGCACAGTGCCCTTGAGCGAGTCACAAGCCAACTCACGCACGTTCTCACACTAATGCACGAACAGACGTCGGCGACTAAAGTCGTGTCTTTCCGTGTGCCTGGATTTCAACTTTAGCGCTGGGTGATTCCACGAGAGTTCGACACGGGTCCGAAAGTTGATACTTTAGTTTTGAATGAGTATTTTATATTTCGTGCACATACCACCCAGTAGCCTGAAAGTTATCTTCGTTTTTTTATTAATTCCATAATTTAGGAGGAAAAAATATTGAAATTATTTTGTAAGGAGGGACCAATTTCATCTGTTATCATTCTCGAAAGTTAACTACAACATAAAAGCATAAATATTAACTTTACGAAGGCGACATTTTTTAAAATAAATGTACGCGTAATGGAGAATGAAAAAAACATTGTATGAAGCCTGTGGGCTAAAGGAAAGTGTTTTTGAAGAATGTCTGAACAGGCGACATGTTTTTAATGTTGTTATACTTGAGATTTCCTTTTTCTCTTAAGGTAAACCAGCCAGTGTTTCATAACATGGTGACCCATTATAACATGATGTTTACGACATTGCCTGCCAATACCGTTGCTGTATCTGACATGAATATTTTTAAAAATGGCCTCAAACTTTTAATTTTGGTGACTGTTAAGCCTATTGAAAAATTAATATTTAGAAAACCCCATCGACGATTTTTCATAAAATCCCTCAAAGGACTCTTGCAGATAATAGAAAAATATTATTAAAAAACATGTTACATTATTTTATTTCAGTAAGAATATTACGGTAGCGAGTCCCAGCTTTTCGTGGATGTACTTAGGAATAAGCATATGACAAATTGGCCTAAAAAAAGTGTGCTTGAGCTATCTTTAATAAGCACTCATAACATTAAGAATAGAATCGATGTGAAAACTTTTCTACAGTATAAAAAAAGTCAACACGCAAAAAAAATCTATGGCGTTGTGAGAATAGGGAGCGTAACATCTTCACTACCAAGCAAATATGTGGGTAAGCAATAAAAGATGCAATTTGCAAAATCCTATTTAACGTGGTTCGACATATGCAAAGAAATTGACATTTCGACAAAGTTTCATTGTTCAGAAAGGAAAAGTTGATACCCACAGATGCGGAATTCAGTTGCGAGTATGGCGAAAACGCTGCCGACGCATGGAAATTCTGGCTTTCAGTTCCTCAAGTTTATTTTGGATGATTCCCAAGGAGCAATATCACAACTTTTATTCACACTATTTTGTAGGCTAAGAAAATATCAATAGCAATAGATTAGGCAGTTATGCCTGAGCAGCCGCGCGCTGCGCCGACACCGCCGTTTCGTTTTGTAGGCACACCAGGCACCAGTGCTGATATCCGCTGCTCGCATTTGGAGATGATTGATTGATTGATTTGTGGGGTTTAACGTCCCAAAACCACCATATGATTATGAGAGACGCCGTAGTGGAGGGCTCCGGAAATTTCGACCACCTGGGGTTCTTTGACGTGCACCCAAATCTGAGCACACGGGCCTACAACATTTCCACCTCCATTGGAAATGCAGCCGCCGCAGCGGGGATTCGAACCCGCAACCTGCGGGTCAGCAGCCGAGTACCTTAGCCACTAGACCACCCTCGCGCTTGGAGTATACGGGTAATCGACACCTTGAAAAACAAAGGCTGATTTTTCAACGACGCGGCCGTTTGCCGATGCCAAATTACTTAATAAGTCAGGTCCACAAACGTGGACGCCCGTAGCGAAGAGGTTTGGTGTAGCAAGCTCACAACAACGACAGCGCTGAAGTTACTGCAGCATGATATCTCACGCTAGCGTTACTTTTGCAGCAAGGACGACTGCCCCGTGCCTCCCGGCTCGACGGTGGAGCGTCGAGTGTCGGTGACGCCATCGCTGGAGGAGAACCGCCAGAAGTACGGCGTCTTCGTCGAGAGCTACAAGGGCGACGACGTCCACTGCCTCGCTTCTTCAACCATGTGAGCTTTTTTTTAAGCTGCAAGTCTCGTGTATACTGTTCTGTATTGTATTCAAATACCGGCCGTACACTGGTCTAGAGGAAAATACTTATACGTTGACGAAGAATGCTTTAGTGAGTGAGTGAAACAACTTTATTGACGATCCGGCATAAAGGGGGAAGGGGTAAGGGGATTAAAGCGAGACACTAGCGTGCTCGGACGTCCCGGAGCAGCAACCTACTCGCGTCAAAGAATGCTTTAAAAGTGTGCAGCTACAGGCCAAGGTTGAACAGAGCGCGCGAGCAGCCGGTTTATGTATAGGTTGGATGGATGTATCCGACTGTGCCCTTAAGATCGGGCGGTAGCTCACGCCACCTAGCCAGAAAGTTAAGTACTATCGCTATGTGTTTAAGGATTGAATTTCACTCACGCCTTGATTGTAGCCACCAATCAGTTAGCCTCCTCCTTGGTAATTTCTACCCATTTAAAGGTCTGGTTTGCCTTCACTGTGCCTAAAGCCCAATGCTCTGAAAATTCCGCGCCATTACCTTGGACTATAGAATGGATCCCTTTATAGGAACATTATCAAATGTACAGCCGTTTCCTCCTCCTCTCCACACGCATTACATGCCGTGTATGTGCCTTCGTATTCGGCTCGGTACGTCTTAGTCCACAATATTCCCGTTCTGGCCTTGAGGACAGTATATGAGCTCTGATGTGGGGTGTCAGCAGCGTGCGCAGGCCTATCGGGCTCACCTGATAGACCACGCACAGACGCGGTTGTGGCTTTACTAAACCCTTGCAGGAAAATCTGACGCGAACAACTGACAATGCATGCTTCTATAGCGTTGACTGAAAACATGTTTTCCTTCATGGACTGTGCAATGTTAAGTGTAAACTTGAATAGCTGGGCGGAATAGTAGCGTAATACAACCTGGGTCAAGTACCCATCTATTTTGCTAGAGCATGAAAACAGGTGAGCCAGGAAATGAAAAAAAAAATGAACAAGATTGCTTGCTCGGTTGTGTTTCGAATTTTCGACTCCCACCCTTTACAGAACATTGGCCATGAAACTAGTGGTTACTATAGAGGTTTTTTATTTTTTTTAATTTCAACTACGTACGAGGAAAAAGTCGATCGCCACATAAATAAACGAACACTTAGGAATGACCAGTCTACACAGAATAAAGATAACAATTCAATAATGATACACTCTACCCAGAAATCATACCTGATAGACCACGCACAGACGCGGTTGTGGCTTTACTAAACCCTTGCAGGAAAATCTGACGCGAACAACTGACAATGCATGCTTTTATTGCGTTGACTGAAAACACGTTTTCCTTCATGGACTGTGCAATGTTAAAGTGTAAACTTGAATAGCTGGGCGGAATAGTAGAGTAAGACAGCCAAGGTCAAGCACCCATCTATTTTGCTAGAGCATGAAAACAGGTGAGCCAGGAAATGAAAAAAAAATAAATGAAGAAGATTGCTTGCTTGCTTGTGTTTTGAATTTTCGACTCCCACCCCTTACAGAGCATTGGCCTTGAAACTGGTGGTTACTATAGAGATTTTTTTTAATTTCGACTACGTACGAGAAAAAAGTCGATCGCCACATAAATAAACAAACACTTAAGAATGACCAATCTACACAGAATGAAGATAACAATTCAATAATGATACCCTCTACCCAGAAATCATACAAAGGACACAAGGACACCGACGCAAGCGAAATGTGAGCTCACAATGAATTTGTTAGATGCGTTGCATTGAATAATGCCACCTGCTGAAACTTTTCAAAACGTTCATAGACCATCCATAAATAGTCTATCAATCTATAGGTACTAAACATTGAAAAATTAGCCACTCATGCAACCAAAGGGTCAGTGATGCGTGTACTGAATCTTTTTACTAATAAGTGTTCCATTTTTATCAATAATGTGATTATAAGATGAGTCTATGGTATGTACATGCTCGAAACATGTATTCATATCAGACATTTCCAAACATAGACCGGAATAAACACGCTAAATAGGGTGCTAGAAAAATCCTTGCTGAGCGTATTTTTTCTCGACGAGAATTTAGCGCTGGCGAGTCTTTTGAGTGTATGAGACGCCTATCTTCCGAAGTTCAACTTCATATCCCAGCGTCTTTCGCGGTGTTGTTTTTTCGGCGCAGATTGAGTGAGCCACGTGTGCTCACCTTAGCGTGGTTCAAGGATGCAGAGAGTAAGCAGGGTGTGTTAATTACCCTTTCATTTACTCTGCTCGTAGCATATCGGACCATGCCAGGAGGAACCTGTTCGGCATCGTCGTCTCCTACGAAGCGAAAGTGAAAGTCTACCTTGGCACACTGAGCTCCCTGTCGGGGTGAGTGGTAATCCAGTGCTTCTCATTCCTACAGCGGTATACTTTCGACTCTGCGTGGCCACCGGCAGAAACGTGTATTAAACGGCGTGAGGAAGATTGATTGATTGATACGTGGGGGTTCAACGTCCCAGAACCATTATATGATTATGAGACGCCGTAGTGGAGGGCTCCGGAAATTTCGACCATCTGAAGAACTTTAACGTGCGTCCAAATCGGGGCACACGGGCCTACAGCATTTTCGCCTCCATCGAAAATGCACCCGCCGTAGAAGGAATTCGATCCCGCGACCTGCGGTTCACCAGCCGAGTACCTTAGCCACTAAACCACCGCGGCGCGGCGGTATGAGGAAGCCATCAGCCGGATGAATAAGGGCAAAAAAAAATGAACGAGTATTACACACGTGTTGAATAAAAAAAAAGATGTACGAGCTTGAGAACTCGCCTTGGCAGGCAAACCCACAAAAATTGATCAGATGATGGGGATTTCACATTAGTGTGGGAAGACTACTTCACGATAGCCTGCGATAAAGTTGGGTTGTTAGCTTAAGATTGCAACGTGCCGCTAAGAAACAAAATGAGAGAAACGAATGGGACAAAGAAAATGCTCTGAATCATATCATCGTGATACAGGAGAGAAAAGCAAAGTAAGGTTACCGGAGTTAGTTCAGAAGTTACTGAGATTGTGACAGCTAAGATCTAGTTGGACCTACAGAGATGGCCCCGCGGCGACACAAAGGCAACGTGCAGCGGAGCTTTCGGAATGAGACGGCAGCGAAAGACACCACAGCACAGCGGGCAGCTAGGTGTCTAGAAGCGAAAACGACTCGCGCACCTCTGCCCCGTCTAGGCCATCGCCGCAGAACCGGTATGGCACACACGTCTCAGCTATCTTCAAACCGATGTAGTTTCAGCTGATGCAGATCGTATCGATTGATTACCAAGCTTTAAAAAATATGATTGCCATGATAGTGTTGTCATATGATTGACAACACTACTCAAACGGTCTTTAAACAGCACGGTGCGATACTTATATGCAGTTAGGTGGGAACCCGCATGTTTCATTTAATTTAATTTTCAGAAGCGACACCTGAGCTTTCAGAGAGTCTGTGGTGAAGAGCTTGTCATTAAGTTCAACCACTGTATACGCATGTACGTACCTTAACGTGCGTCTAAGTTAAGTACATGTGCCAGGATTTCTATGTCTACGCTTCATCCAAATACCACCGTCGTAATCAGCAATATAATGAGTAAGTGCTCAGGCTCATCAGCAAAGGTGCACCTAATCACCTACACCATCACGATAGATACTTGACCAATACTAGCGTGATCCCATGGCCTCGCTTGATCACGGTTATATTGACTGTGACCGTACGAATCGTGCGGAATCTCCACGATGTCCGTCTTTGCAGGCGAGGCGAGATGGCGTGCTTTGTGCCGTTCTTGCTGATGCACCCGCGGCCCGCCGAGTCGCCGGTGGATCCGAGCCCCGACGAGACGCTCACCGCGACCACGTCATCCAGCAGCGCCAAACTCGTGCCGGCCACTGACCTCGAAGAAGTGATCGCCGAGTCCTCGGCGCGCACGGGCGCGGCCGTCCTGCAGGGACCGCTGGAGTCCAGTCCGGGCGGGTCTGTGGACGTCCTCGGCGATAGCCCCACCGAGACCGCGACTTCGGCTGGTTCCTCCTGCGAAGACGAGCTCGTCCGCAAGTTCGACGAAGTCAACACCAACAGCGACTGAGGCTGCGACAAGCCAAAAACGACCGGTTGTTCATCCGCCTTGTGTGCGGCCCATCTGTGACAAGTGCATCCGCCAGTTGGTGTGACCACGCCGCTGGTTCAGAAATGCATTTCCTGCGAGATCCGAGAGCCCCGTCTCGCGCGCAGTCCCGACCGGACTCGTACGCTCCTGTCGGGCGTGACTCGGTGGTCTTTGCCGAAAAATGTGATGTTCTCTTTTACGTAACTCTGCAGTTCCCGGCAAGGACTCGGGAGGACTTGCCAATCCCAGCAGCGCTTGTTAATGTCCGGTTACAGATACCGCAGCTGAGGCGGTAGTGAGGAAAAAAAATGCCTGTTTCATATTGCAGTTTCTAGCACGTAGGCATGCAATGGTCTTTACTTCCTACTAGCTCGTCATGGTTACGAGAACTATGACTGCGAAGATCGACATGCTTGAGCTCTCAACAGTTTCTCAGTACGCAAGCTCTGCTCTGCAAAGGTATCGCTACACGAGCGGCATCTTTGCGAAGCTGCGCTTGCACGCGTTCTTCTCGTGAAAATCTATGGGCGTCGATAGTGTCGGCGCATGCGCGCGAAGTGAATCATGTGTACTGCAAGGACTGGAAATGTACCGAGATTTACGATACGCGCGCACTGCGAAATCAGCCGCTGGCGCCGCTTGTGGCGCACTGCGCCATATTTCTGATTTTATGTGCGCGTATATGCTAAACGCTCCTCAGTGTTTATGTGCCACTCTAGGGAGCTGTTTGACACTGTGAATCAAGCTTGTTGTGGTTGTCGTGCTGCTGGTGACACGATGTGTATATGCTTCCCTGTGCGAGCCGAGATTGTCCTGTACGAAACACCACCGGTATCCGCCTTGTTAAACGCTGACGCGGTGCATGCCTTTGTTTTTTCTCTCTCTCTCTCAGTGGTGCTCATCTTGCGCCACGGCACAGGGATTTTCGCGATGTTTGTACGGAGCCTCTGACAAGCTGCGACTACAGCACGAATCCTCAGGAGGGCTGCGAGCTACTGCACATTGTCGTTCCTCCGGTTCTTGTTGATGTGAGCACCCAGGCTGGTATCTGGGCGACCTTGTTCTGCTACGTTTTGTAGTGAATAGCTGTTCTATATTCCTCGCGTTGTTGTACTGGTGCCATGATTTGTGATCTTTTATCAGACTAACACGAGCTTATGGGGACCACGCAGTCTTGGATTAGCGCAGATCAAGAAAGGGCCGCGATACGGCAATTACGCTTGACGAAGATCTTCGGTGACGGTCGTAGCCCAGGTGTGATTATGTTGTAATCGAAGCGTTGTGCCAAAATATATACACAAACAAGTACTAACACGGTAATCGCTTGCTTGTGGTCACAGCCGCGATAAGAGCGAACACAGATCGAGTGGCTACGGAAATGGTATCAAGAATTCGTTGGCGCGTAAAAGACAATGAGAGCGGGTAGCTAACTAAGCCTGGATGTTCGTTTAAGCGTCCCCGGACCATACGTAACGTGTTTTGTGATGTGATGTGATTAGCACAGTTGCCCTCCCTCAGTACTCTTCGTCGTGACTTTCTGCGAGCCCGAGAGGTCATTCGACGACCGAAGAAGCACGCACCTGAAGCATGCACACGGCATTAAGCCCTTTTCCTGGGCTTCTTTGATTAAGTATTGTATGAAAAAAAAAGCTGTTGTTGTTTTGTCTCGCTCGCTTGCCGAGTCTCAACGTAATCGCGGCCAGGCAACCCGCGCTGCACATGGAGCCTCTGTGTTTAAAATCAACTGTGTCTCGTGTAGCTTCCCGACTGTGAAATAGCTTAGAGTCTATATACGGGGGAACAATCGCGTTGAGCTCGAGTTTGCACGCAACGCTGCCACTTTAGTTGGAATTGCGTGGGCAACGCGGACGCTACATTCACACCTGCATTTAGAGAGCCACTACTATGTGAGCGATCTAAGGGTATCCGGCTCATCTTTCACTTTCTCTCCACAGCACACAAGTAAAAGCGATCTTTGCGAGTGCTTGCAAGCGTAGACGGCACGTTATGCGTTTCTCTTTACACAGTGTTTTATTCAGCGCTACCCCCCCTCCCACCCCCGACGCCGAAGTCATCCACACACGTGATTACCGCGCTACTGCTTCGCTTCCGAAAAAGTTCTCTATTTTGAAGTACACTCGTCCTATACCCCGCTCTCCCTCCCAACTGTCGGCGCAGTAATTTAAGCGACGGCGGCGGAAGGCGCGTAGCGTAAAAGCTGAACTTGCAAGTGCCTGCATGCGTGCTGCGGCAACGGGGTGCTACAAACTCGCACTCGAAGGCGAACTGAACAAACAAACGAAAAAGAGAGAGAGGAACTTAACCAGTGGTGAGCGCAGACGCCACCCGTTTGCTGCCAGACTGCAGGCATTCGTGTAAGTCACGAAGCGGACCATTGCCCCACTCCCTTCTGTTCTTGTTTATCGTTACCCTCGCGTCGGCAGGGGCCGCACAGTGCTCCGCGTGTACATACATTTCTAAACCACGTGCCGCGTCCGGTGACCAGCGCTCTCTATATTTGATACGAAACACATACGATACCGCGGCACCCTTGCGGGAATAGAGGAAAATAGTAAAAACACTGGATATTAGCAAGATTCGCCCCACCCCCCCTTTACTTCTCGTTCCAAAGCACCCGCCGTCACTCGGCTAACGAGAAAAGTTGCGTGACGCCCACCTTCGTAGCAGTAGAACAAAAAACAGCAAGAGAAGAAGCTACCGTAGAGGCATAGCGCGCGGTGTTCAAGCTCGCCGTACTAAGCATACGGCCTGCCCTAGTCGGTCGTCCCTTACTTGTCGATGCAGACCGTCCCACCTCCTCGTAAATCATTCCGCTGGCTAACATCAGCGACCGCAGGAACGGAAGAGCGTGCTTCATCCCCCATCCATCTCCTCGAGTGCGGCGCAACTCTTCCCCCGAGGGCGACATTGGTTGCCGCGAGTCTCACTCGGCGTCGTCCGCGGCGCTAAGGTGCCTAACAGCCGTCAGTGACCCGGCGGGCCTACGCGGATATATTTCTTCGACGATGTACAAAAGGAAATGGCTCCTCTCAGCTGACGTACGGCGCCGGATTCTCAGCAAACACGCGACGCAGCATTGTCGAGAGCTGACCGCCCGCCGTGTGGTGGAGAATGATAAGGGACGGATGACTTCGTTTTTTTTTTTGCGCACGTTTGAGCTTCGCTAAAAGGACGTGTCGCTCGAGTTCCCGCTGTTTACGCGATGAGTGCACCGTGACTTACTTACTACAACCATCACTACCACCAGATCTACTACTACTACTGCACTGTACAGATATGTACGTCTATGTACACGCGCACTGTACAGACTTGGGGTGTGTATAGCTTGTACACGTGTACAAAAGATGGGCATTGTTAGCCGAGAGCTTGTTGCTTGTCTTGTTGATGGTAAACATGCATATGCGACTTATTCTACGCGTGTACAAAGGAGAAGTGTGTCTTGGCTTCGAGGCTGTGTTGTTTGGCAACGGCGACGCTCCCTGCTGGTGACGCTTGTCACAGGCTTCTTCACCTCATGATCACTGAGCTCCAGAGAAAACGAGCTTCGCCTGAACATATTTATTAATTGATTGATTGATTTGTGGTGTTTAACGTCCCAAAACCACCATATGATTATGAAAGACGCCGTAGTGGAGGGCTCCGGAAATTTCGACCACCTGGGGTTCTTTAACGTGCACCCAAATCTGAGCACACGGGCCTACAACATTTCCGCCTCCATCTGAAATGCAGCCGCCGCAGCCGGGATTCGATCCCGCGACCTGCGGGTCAGCAGCCGAGTACCTTAGCCACTAACATATTTATTAACTTATGAAATTTGAGATACACACATACTCCTCGAGTGTGGGGTCACTTTAGGCGATCAATGTGGTTGAAAGCGGCAGCAAAACATGGAGTTCCAGTAAGTTACGAATACGGGAGATGGAGAACACATTGGAGTGAATATGGAAGATGTAAATTCAGCCATGTCTACTTTGACACAACTGCCAGATGAACGAAATACAGGAACACCCGTAGCATACTTCTGTGTTACTTTTTTTTTCCTATTTCAGCATTACACAACTCAACTGTTGTTTCACGGCTGGTCTTATATTTTCAATGGAAAATTGGATTCTCATCCACCGGGCCAACACGCACGTGTAACCGTCGAGAAATGATAAAAAACAGCATTCGGACACACCACGACCAAGCAGACCTAGAGTTTATTGTTTGCTATGTCAATCCGCTTTATTCTCTAAGTCAATCCGCGTCTGCTTGTTCTCTAGGTCGATCCGAGCCCAACCAGGTGCACGTGCGATAGACACGAGAGACAATACCAGAAGCACGGCTTCGTTACAAATCATTTCGGAGCCAGTTTTGACCTACAGTAGCCTTCCGAGCTGCGACTGTACTACGTCAAACGCAAGGGCGGCGTGTAGTGTGCGCCGACGGTGAGGCCTGTGAGGAGCTAGAAGCCTGCAGGGAGTGTTCAGCCTGAACGTAGTAAGTCCTGCACTCGCCTGAGCCAGTTTCGCTAAGCCTGACAACGTATTCGATATCGAGCTACAATTCAAGGCTTAACGGCAGTCGCCGTGTTCGTTAAATGCTGATTTTCTTCCAGCTGTTAATCTTTTCGCAAGCTTTGGTGTCCTGGAAACGCAGGAAGTTTTTACACACCGGAAATCTAGGGGAAGCTTTAGGTCATTACAAATCCTTGCCAAAGTTGAGCAACAACTTGCTTCGTAAAAATGGCTGCTCGCAGGAGGCACCTCCCACTTTGACGGTTGAAAATTACCGTTGATTAAAAAAGAGTAAATGTTAGTCTGATACCCACGTCTTCAAAACAATCAAGTGGAAGAGAGATGTGAGAATTGCTAATAAACCGCAAATGTCAGTGATTACGTCGTTGTTCGGTGTCGCAGCTTAATGTCGCAGCTTAATACATACAGCCAAATGCGTACGAAGCTTTTGTACTCACATTGTTTAACGCTTCGACGTAGTGTATGGAGCTTCAGAAAAAAAAAAGATACGGCCATCACTCTACATGAATAACAAATAAAATATTTGTTTAATGTTGTCTTATTTATTAATGATACACTGTTATCCCACTCAAGACAAGACACAACAAACATTCTTTCACAATTTTTCCCAAATAAACACTTCTGATGTCCATCAATGACGCGATAGGCACCATATTTGCAAACTCTGCACGCTTATTTACGAATTTACAAACCAAAAAACTGTCTTGCCCTTATAGAAACAGCAAGTTCCAGGCCACAGCTTCCTAATCCTATTTTTTTAATTTATTCCGATGATCACAGGGATGCATCAAATATTAGGGAGCTTTAGAATAGCGCACCGTGAGCCCTTGCCGTGCGGTCGCTGTTACTGCGCATGCGTCGTAACGCGAGTCTGCGTTCGCGTTCGCGGACCGCACGCAAAAAATCCGAAATTGCGTGCGGTAATGGCGGCCCGCAAGTGGCCCGCAAGCGCTGGTTTCGAGGCTACAGTGTCGCTGCGATCGTGCGTTGCGGATCGCAGCAAGGGCAAACGCTATTCTAAAACTCATACGGTGCCCGCTACGCCCGCAGCGCTTGCGAACGGTATTCTAAACCTCCCTATTTACCTGGCAATCCTCAACGCAATGACATTGGTTAAAGGGCTACTTAGTAAGCTACTGTGCAGTCAGCCGACAAAGATGAGAGGTGACCGAAACTTTCACATATAGACAACGTTGCCAGAGCTCATGCGAGACTCGCTGAAGGCGAGTGTGCGTGCATGATACCCGATGGGCAGTCTACATACGTACTGCCAGCGTTGGCCACATTTACAATCACATGTGTGACGGTGCGATAAGCTATAGAAGTGTTGGCGGCGAAGTATATCAGCGGAATTTCAAATACACGTACTGCACGTGAAGATGCAGCTGATAAGCGACGTCATCGACCGAACGTCCCTCCCTTTGTCTAGCGCAGTTCCTCAGAAGAATACATTCACGGAGACGTATATACGCTGTTGTTGTGCGCGAATCTCATCTAACCACAATGCTTTGGCTAAGCGAGCTTTCATATTTTGTTTTGAACAGCCTTACTGTAACGCGCTTGCATCGTCATCGTCATAATGTTCACTAATAAAAGTCATATATGGCAATCGTAGCGGTGTCACTCATTCAAAGGTACACACCTTTACTCCCTCAACGTGGAGCGACCCATCTGCTGCCGCACCAGCAGCACACCGGGTAAGAACAATCAACTGACATCAGCAGGTACTAGCATTTGCTTATCAGCTCTGGTGCGTCAGAAGCTATAGAGTGCACGTGCGAAATATGAGATCCAGGTTAACATAATATACAGCGGCTCCGGGACAGCCTCGTGCTCGATATGTGAGCACGGGAGGTTGGTCACTAATTACGCGAAGATTAGTGAAGTGCCCGCATCTCTTAAACCTCCGGAACGCCACAAGAGTGGCTTATTGCGCCATATTGCGAGCCAACGTTATGAGGAATTATATCAGCCGCACCACGCTACAAAGGACGTTTCACAAGATGGATGCATGTATATCTATTACTTGGTAATAACCTCGCTTGCGAAGGCTTCCGCCTGTGGAATATGAGCGACGTATAACAAGATTAAACAACAGCAAAACGCGACGTCCCTATAGGTGGTGTTGAGCGCAAGTTCACAGCTCGCACTCCTTCACAGAATGCATTGGTGACCTCGCGTAGACAGTAGAAGGACACCGCGAAGGGTCTGAAGTTTGTCATGGCAACGGCACAACGACTGAGATGCGTAAGTGCCGCCACTAACGAGATGGCAGTCATAAGGGTATGCACAGGCGATCATGGGAACACTCGCTCTGTTGTGTAGTTGTCCAAATGCGAGAGCGGCGTATCGTATTCGTCCGAGTAAAGATACGCTGGATTCACTTCCCGGACAGCTAAACGAAATGTTGTTCCTATTTTAATCAGTTTACTGCTAATGGTATGACTGCATTTCGGTTACTTTCGCATAGCTAATGAATAAAGACTGTTGGGGTTTTACGTCTTAAAACCACGATGTGATTATGATAGACGCCGGAGGTTCTCCGGAAATTTCAGTCAGCTGGGTTTGTTTAACATATATCTGAGTACACTAGCCACTATAATATCGCTTCCATTTAAGAGCCGCTGCAGTCCACAGGCTTTCGACCCCCCCCCCCCTACCTTCGGGTCAGCTGTCATGCATCATAACCACTACAGACCACAGCGGCGGGTGCGCATGCACGGTTGTTTGTCTGCTGCACCGCACTGAAATTATAACACGCATATTTCCATCGCAAGCACCAGCAGGCCCCCAGAAGGTGGCGAAGAAGCCCCAGCAAACATGATGAGACACGCGAACAGAGATGTATACTATGTAGCAGGGTCTTAATGAAATGAGTAAGTAAACTAAAGAAAGCCTTTTTTTAACTACCTCGGCGGTATCGAGTGATGCTACCGCTATATACTCTACGCAATATATCTCACACGCGTGTAGTCGTGCGAATGCTCCTCGGCAAACTTTTCGTTTCGTTGGCAACGACTTATTCAGACACGAGGCGAAACAAGAAAACCGGGGCCGCCTGGGAGTGAAAGCGATCGGCACAGATTCCAGAAAACGGCTGCATCTTTAACCGCTAGGCAGGCTCAAAAAAGAGTCGGACAGTCACGAAGAAATAAACTGACGTGTTGCGCACTTTTTCAAGGATTCAATGGAGCGATTTATCAATTTTAGCAAATAAAGGCAGAAGATAAAACACTTCGTCAAGGGAAGGTTGTCTCGCGATTGTAAACTACACTTGCATCACAGTATGCTGCGTTTTGAGCCTCCAATTTTTTTTCTTTCGCGTTTGATTAATGTATTTAACACGAATGGCATCGATCATATACAAGAGCGCACGCATTTGTGCTTTATGATTCGCGACTTCAGAAGAAAAAATGCACAGCGTAAAGGGACATAAAGAAACGGACATATACGGACAGTCTTTGCATGTCACTTTCGGAAGTACAGTTCAATTACTTTATTGTGCTCAGGGCTCAAATTTTCAGCTTCACATGGCTGGGCATTTTTTTTCGTACATCCCAGCTCTGTATTATTATTTTTCGTACTGCACTTAATAAAGCTACCAGGGTCAAGTACAACTGGCCATTGCTAGCCAATATGTGATGCCACAGAAGCTCAATCTCCCCCTCTGTCTCAGTACATACCTGCGGTGGAGGATGTACACCGAGAGATCCGCAAAGGAGCCTTCTTCGACGCACTGGTCATCAGCTGGCGCTGACGAGTTGCCGTCTTCGCTTGACCCCACCAGCGGCCGATGGTCTCGACGAGCGGGTGTCATAGACGCCAGTCACGGCCATCACGTCGTTGAGCCGGAAGAGTTCACTGGCGAACAGGAATCTGAGGGCCCCGTAGTGCACGGCACTGATTCCTTCCTAAGCGAAGTAAAGTGGCTCCAGCATGGCCGTCCACAACGAGATTAGCCACCCGAAGAACTCTTGCGACGCCTTGCAAGTGTTTACGTAATAGGAGTTAAAAAACGCTTTTTAAAGCGCCAGTGGTCACG